AAACAAAGTGTTGTCTCTAGGTCCACTTCAAAAGCTGAGTATAGAAGCCTTGCTAATTCTGTTTCTGAATTGATTTGGATTGAATAGTTAATTGATGAAATTGGGATTGGTGTAACTGGAAAGCCAGTTGTAGGGTGTGATAATGCCTCTACAATTTCTATGGAAGTAAATCCAACACACCATGCTCGAATAAAGCATGTGGAAATTGATATTCATTTTGTGAGGGAAAGAATTTTGGTTGAACAACTCAGTGTAAATTTTGTTCCTTCTGCAGAACAGGTGGCTAACATACTCACCAAACCATTTTCACCTGCAGTTGACATGCGTTCTCGTCTTGGTGTAAAGTCTTGGGCAGAAATCAATAGTACCAGTCATGAGAAAAAGGTCTGAAGAAGCCAGGAAAATGTTGAAGTGGCAATTCAGATAATAAGAAAACCGGGAGTATATTACAGTATTATGTAATTGTTGGTTAGCTGTAACCGTTTTAGTTAATCTATTGTAACTGAATTCTATTCAGTTGGGCTGGTTAGTTAGCCTTAGTTGTTATATATAGTGGGCCTATCCACTATTCATAACCCGAGAGAATGTATTTTGTTTCTATCATGTTGACTTTAGTAAAGCGTTTCCATTTGCCTTTAATCTTGTTCTACATTGTCTCTTTCAGTTTATCTGAGTTAGTTTACAGTAGCTACCTTGCTTATTTCTTATCACTTTCCCGCTAATTTTCTTAATACATCGAGTGCTTCTTTGTTTCTCCCTTGAACAAGTAGCCAACGAGGTGACTGTGAGACCAACGGGACTAAGAAAAACATATAAACAAGAGGGGGAAGTGATATACCTCCAATGAGATCTTGTAGTATAGGCAATGAGTGGGAGAGATAGATAACCAGCTGTGAAGAAAAAGAAACCAAATTGGCCTATTTGACCTCGCCATTTACGACCGACAATTTCTGTGGAGAGGACAAGACAACATATCCAGAACGAGCAAAGCCGTTTGCGAATCGAAGAAGTGCATATATCCAAACGTTAGGTGAAAAAGAGGTCATGAAAGTGGTGGAGGAGATTAAGATGCATGCCACCAATAATGTTTTCTTTCTACCCAATAATGTGTCCGCTAGCCGACCATAGAAAGAACATCCTGTGAAAGGGAAACAAACAGTGTCTTTCACTAGCTTCTCACTCGTTAGATTATTATTTTTAAATAAAATTAAATACCCTTAGATGGGTTAAGTTTGTTCGGACTTCAAAATTCCTTTTAGAATTTACCCGTAGCCTAGCAATGGACATCCACATATATAATTCATTGAATGTAGGAGATTTCTTCGAACTATGATTCAAACTTTAAATTAATTTCAAAATATTATAATTGAAATTTTAAAGTATCATTATTTTATTAATCAAGTCATTTCCATCATTAGCTTGAATGTTGTAATTTTTTTAATCAATACATTTTCATCATTAGTGTGAACATTAAATGTCAAATTGATTAAAACTATCATTTAGAAGGTACACAATACACACAAGGTAAAAATCATACTCTCTTTCAGGGATTAAATTGAATTTTAAAATTTTGAAGGATTAAAGTACAAGTTTAACATAGGATTAAATTATAACATCAAAATTAAACTCATTTAAATGCATGATTGATACTAATACTTATATGAATGAAGGCCTAGGAGAGAGAGTTAAGATTACCAAAAATTGTGCCAATGAAAAAGAGAAAAGCCGGAAGAGCAGCAAGAAACTTGCGGTCACAGATAAGGTTCTACTCGGCAATAGTGGACGTGGTGTTCCCACCAACCCACTCCCAAGTCCCGGCTGCCAATCCGCAAACATGACTCCGTTGGCCTTTGCTGCCACTACTACTAACGTCGTCGTCTATGCACCAAGACTCAGATACTGATGCATTACTGTGATGATGGTCTTTTCATCTCCAAGCAGATGGCCGAGCATCAGTAAAGATGGTGATTAAGGTATTCTGAGAATCAAACACCCATGACAATGAAACTAATGCTACATGCAACAGTTGAGATAATCCCAGGGATCTCTCGTATCTGTTTATCACATCATCCACACTGAGCTCTAACTTCTCTTGTGCTACCACCGCCACGTGTGCAAGCTCTTCTATTTCTCCTTCTGTCTCCATGTCTACCACTTTACAAAGGAATTTTTATATTCAACCTTGCTGCTCCCTTAATACGAGTAATAAGGGCTATTTAGAGTTTGAATTAATAATTACATATTAACCTACTGCTTGATAACGATACAAGTTTTTCTTCTTTACGTCAGTAACAAATTGATACAGTTGGATTACATGAGTGATTAGTAGGTACAATCAGATTAACACTCTAATTGATCTATATAACTTGTAAAAAAATTGCCAACAAGATGAGCCACAAAACAAAGCATAAACAGCAGCAACAAACAGCATAAAAAGCTGCCCATATTGCAGCATGATCAACCAAAAAAGAAACTGCAACACTAGCGTCTAAACTCAGCAACAAAACACTGCTAAACTACCAAAAATAGCACATCGAATCACAAAATTCAACAATCTTGTTTTTGTTTATAATTTTTTTAGATTATAATAATTATTTTAAAAATCATAATTTTTTTACCAACAAAAATTAAATATGACGATTCACGAGTGGAAATTAAAATGATGAAAATGCGTATCAGTTTGAATGTGTACGTTGAGTAAGAAGTATATTATCTCAAATAATTAGGTCATGAATGTAATGTTATGCTTCCTATTCATGACTTCTCTCGACATGCTTAACTTTTGGCTAAAATTGATATTTATAATAAAATAATTATTTTGTTTTACAAAAGGAAAAAGATAGAAGAGATGAGGAGAAGATAATGAATAAGAATGAAGAAAATGTTATATTTAGTTGTGCATAAAATAATTGTAGTTTTTTCTTTAACGATTTCTATTTAGGAGGACGGAAAGGATAATTTTGTTCATAAAGAGAATTGAATCCACAATTTAGAGAATAAATGATGTGTTATCCGAGAGTTTTTAACTACATACTCTAGAGATTGTATAACTAATATATGACTAAAGATTAGAAATGGTGGTAGTAGTGACTCGTACTATATATAATTCATTTATATATGATTTGTGGTTTGCAGTTTGTCCTTGGTATTTCAATAACTTGGTCTTTTTGGTGGTTCGTTTACTGATTCGGTCAGATCTATTCGTATCTACCTTTTGTTAGAATTTATTTGGCTTGTTTTTTAACATTTTCCTTGTGTGATCCTTATTTGATCTTAAGTGACTAATCTTCTTGTGCTAATAATTATAAGAAAACATATTTATTATGTGTTTAATTTACGATTGTGGTTGTAAAATTTTATTGTAATTTGGACATTTTCTATTTTTAATAAAATCAACTGTTTTTATAAAAAAAAAATATTGCGTGTCACTAAATAGATCTAACTTCCGGATAAAATTAGTTTAAAGAAACAACAATATCATGGCAATTAAACTTAAACAGCAACACCTCCGTCAACTAACAAATGTGGTCCTATAGTTCCTTTATTCATATTTTAAAGGCAGGATTAATGAATTATTAATTTAAAACTGAATATCTCACAAATATCATGGGCCATATATGTGTGTATATATATATAACTTTAAACCCATATCATAATATCTTTTATATATGTTTTATAAATTTGTATTTAAATACGTTTTATTTTTCATGATCGATAAAACTACGGTTAACACAATTTTAATCCTAAATTATTTTACTCTAAACCGTTTAATGAAGAATTATTTATGTTCTTATCTAAACAAAAACACTTCAAAATTAAAATATAAAGGTGATATATTTTAAAAGTCAAGCCATCTATTAATCCCTTGGAAAAGGAACCTTGTACTTTTAATTGGATTGTTTTACTACGAGTAAGGATATACGCAAGATTTTAGGTTAGGTATGTGAATTTAAAAAGATTTTGGAGGCGAAAATAAATTTTTATTAAAATACAACAAAAATAAAGACAACACGCACATATACTTTGTAATTATAACTGTTTGAACCCGAATCTTTTAAAGAAGAACAATATTTCCTTTTACCCTTCAATGAATTAATCTAAATACATTCTTAAATTATGTATAATAACACTTTGGGTATAACTTCATTACTTCAATAGTTAGTGAAATTAAAAATTTAAAAATCATTAGAAAATGTTTGAAAGTAAAAATGACTGAAATAAAAAGAATTATAATATATAATATTTGAATAATTATTAAATTAATTAATTTTAGTGAACTGATATAATAAGTTGAGAACCGAAGGAATTATACGTATAATCAACCATGGTTATTTTTAAATTATATATGTCTTTAACTAGTGAATCCTATCAAATTACCGGTAATTATTCTTTACCAATTAAACATATTTAAGTAAAATTGATCGAGTATATTTAATTGGTTAGTCAAGTTACTCATATTTGTTTCATCATATTCTCTTATGTCATGAGTTCTAGATCCACTGAGAGCATTCTCCTTCCTTCCTCTAGAGCCTTCCATTTCTCTCTCCTCTTGATAGGATTATGATAGATTTATAATTTATCAAAAAAAATATTTAAATAAAATTAGAATTCATTGTACCTATAATTACACGGATTATAATTATATATTTCTTATGAGAAAAAAGAAAAAATATATATATGTATCGAATTTAAAATAAAAAATCAACCATAAAAAAAATATTATGCTTTTATTAATATATTATAAATTTAATTGATGAAATATTAAAAAAAATATCTTAATAATTATATATTTTTATAATTAATTTATAGTGTGCAGACATGTCTTAAGAACATTATAATTTGTATGATTTATAACAATAAAGTTAAGTTGTTGCTCGTAAGGCCCACGACGATAAAAAGATTGGCGGTGGATTTGGGTCAACGTGTATGCACCGTCAATTCTATATAATTCTTTGGTATTAGTGCTTCGGAACCATAGTTTGCGGGTCCCATTCTCCAAAGATTAAGCTTTTTCTTACATATAACTGAAGTATAACCTAGTCAACTCACCACATTCGCATACACTTTTGCCTGAACTGAGAACAATGGCGGAACAACTCACCGAGGAGCACATCGCTGAGTTCAAGGAAGCTTTTAGCCTCTTCGACAAGGACGGTGATGGTATACATGCTCCTCCATTCACTGTTTCTTTTTTCCCCCTTACTTTTGATTTGCTTTGCTTCCATGGAAGAATTCACTAAAAAGTACCAACATATTATGTCTGATTCTTAGATAGAAGAACTTTAGCATTCTTGGGTATTGACTGGAATCTTGTTTTCTATCTTTTAATCCTCTTTGTTAGATTAGATCTTGTATTACTAGACTGCAGTTGTACGTCTGTGGGTATGCAAGATAATAATTACGATCTATGCTTTCACGGCGCTGCCCGGCGAGCTGGGTTGGGTGGTGATAACCTGAGAGGAAGGTGGTTGTCGTCGGGTGATCCGAATGGATCGCGTATCCCCTGTTTCGATCGAATGTGTGTAGTTAGCAATCCATATGCTTTATTGACTTTTGAGAACTCATGATGTGTAGGTTGCATCACTACTAAAGAGCTCGGAACGGTGATGAGATCTCTCGGACAAAATCCAACTGAAGCTGAACTGAAGGATATGATCAACGAGGTTGATGCTGATCAAAATGGCACTATCGACTTCCCCGAGTTCTTGAATTTGATGGCAAAGAAAATGAAGGTGACTGAAACACTGCATTTCATTGTGCTTATTCCATGGAACTAACACACATTCCAACCGAGTGTTTCGTTTGCAATTGTGATACCAACCCTGATGACTTAAACATTGCATTGCTTTTCATTTCATTTCAAACTCTGATTCTGTGCACTTGCAATTCTCTATGTTGTTTTATTTCAAGTTTTTGAATATCGGTAGGCTGTTGTTTATGGAATCGGACATGCTAACATTGTGTATTTTCACTTCCTTCTGTGGTAATCTCTGCTTTTGCTGCACTAGTGACGGTTAGCCTCTGCTCTTTCGGTTGTGTATTTTTGTTGCATCATTTCTTGAGGTTGATTTCCTCGAACTTGAGTCTCATATGGTTTTCATTCGTATCATAGAAGTCTAATGTGATTATTTGCTCTATAGCATTTTGTTCTACAGCCGTAATTGGATCTGGTATTGCTTGAATATTGCTCTTACCATGGCTTCTCTGCATTTGAATGGACTTGTTTCATGGATTCCAGCATTAATTTGTCAAACCGAATGCATACCTCTATAGCAGTCGAGGCATCACCAGTTTTGCTGCACTTGGAACTTATATTAACTTGCCATCACAAAAAGTTCTGCCAAATACCGTACCATTGTAATCATACCCTTTGTTGTATCAATTATGAAGGATACTGATTTTTGCTTCTCTTAAATTGTCTTATGAAGGATACTGATTCCGAGGAGGAACTTAGGGAAGCTTTTAAGGTTTTCGATAAGGATCAGAACGGCTTTATTTCTGCAGCTGAGGTAATAGAGCATGAGTACTTGCTCATATCCTGTTTGCTCCGAAATCAATGTTATAACTATAGAGAAAGAGCTTCTTTCATGCTGATGGTGGTTGGTTCTTTTCACTTTGCAGCTCCGGCATGTGATGGCGAATCTTGGGGAAAAGTTGACGGACGAGGAAGTGGATGAAATGATTCGTGAAGCAGATACAGATGGTGATGGACAGGTGAACTATGAGGAGTTTGTAAGGATGATGCTAGGAAAGTGATGGCAGTTGCTTTGTTGTTGAGTCGGGGGAGAAATGTCGTCCCTCCCGACTGTGTAAACTCGCTATTACTTTACTGAGACTTGATATAGGTTCTTTATATTCTGTTTGAGCAATATGATGAAGCACTCTTTCCTATTTCTGAACTAATTTACGTGATTTCAATTCAACAAGTTCCTTGTCTAAACTATCTTTTTCCGCCCATTTTATGATGCTTGAGACAAGTGAAGTTAATGAAGGTTATACCTTGTTTTACAAGTTTATCGGCCAAGTATAATGGGAATTAACTAATCCCCTTGCACTCTTGAGCCCCGAGTTGCCCTCAATAATGTGTTATCTTACTTGAGGTACTAGTTGTTGATAAACTGAAGAACTAATTGAAAAATTAAGTGTCGGATATAATTAAAATATTTGATAAATATAAAATTTTAATACAATATAATTTTTATTGGTGTATAACAAGTGAGATGGTGATTAGTAGTGGTTTGAGCGACCAATGTTGGTGGTTGTCACTCAGTCGTGTAAGGTCATGAGTTTGGTCGAGTTATGTTTTTGGTCCATCCGAGCCCCACTCAAAAATTAAATCCCCTGATGATCCTACTCAACTTAAAACTTGACCCGATTTTTTAGGTAAAAATCTCACACCTGACTCGATCCAAATATATATATAATTTCTATTTTTATTAGATAAAATAAAGAAATAATTAAGAAATAATATAAAGATGTATATTATTGTAATTATCTCTGAATATAATAATAGATACTTATAATATTATTTAGGGTCAGGATAAGGTTTCTCATCCATGATACACGCACGGCCAGGCACCTATTCATCATCTTCATACTTCCATTCATTTCAATAATGGAAGTCCAGGGAGTCTTTCTTACTTTCTTACTTCATTATTTTAATTATATCATTCATTCACGTACTTTATCATTCATGCATATATGTGATCATTACTTAGTTATATATGTCATATGTTATCATAATATGTTTATCTATGGCTATCATTTGATATAACATGCTATTACATATGTTTTGCATATAACTTAGTCTTTATGATATGTCTTGTTTGTCACACATCTTTACTTAGCTTTATATCATGTTCTACACATGTTTTGTATTCATTTAGTATGTTTGCATATCATTCATATGTCATAGCAGCATATTATCATTCAATCATTAGCTCATGACATGTTATTCTAGCTCATGTTACATTTACCTTTGCTCATTAACTTTGCATCCATGTTTCCTTAACTAATTGTATTCATCCATAGCTCAAAAGTATGTATACATAGGCGGCGGCATGCATTTAGCCTTCTACAAGCTTACTTGATTAATCTTTGAATGTTTTCTTGATTCATATAGGTGCATCACAAAGGGACACATCTTATAGCAGCTTGGGGAGACATTTGGCAAAGCATGACAACTCATAATTAGCTCACAGCACCTATGGCAACTCATAATTACCTCACAACACCTATAGCAGCTCATAGTACTCAAATTGAAGTTCACATTAGCTGGAGGAGCTAACAAGGAGCTAAACTCAGTTAGGGAAGCATTTTCGACTAAGTTGCTGAAAAGTGAACTAAAGGTAACTAGAAGTAGTTGGGAGAGTAGATGAGGAATTGAGAAGATCAAAGCTAACTAGCTTGAGTTCATCAAGCTATAGCTCATCTAGTTAGCTACCAAGACATTCACCTAACTTACCTTGAACCTAGCTTACCTCTACGTTGTCCATAAACTTCAAGACATCATCCTATGGTCGAGTTGCACCTAAGGTTCAATGGAGACTCCATGTGCATGCCTTATGGCATCCTAGCCAAGTGCCTTGCTTGTGCATCACTTAGGCGCCAAGATGAAAAGGCTTTTCCCTATTCGGCCAAGCATTGTAACCACCCAAGGATTGGCGCCAAGATGAAGAGTTGCAAGCACTATTCGGCCAAGACGCATTCCTTCACCCTTGGTCGAACCACCATCATTATTTGCATCCTATGTATTTAATTAAATTATGTCTTTATGAAAGGAAACTAGTGTGGCTGAATATACATGTATTTTTTGGTCTTGTTTCTTTTCATAAACTATAAATAGTCTTGCCTATTTCATTTGTAATCAACCTTTGTTCATCAAATATTCAAGTGAGATTTATTCTCTTTTACTTAGTCCTTTGTGAATTTATCGACTTATCAAGTGGTAACACTTGTGGCTTCAAACCCCTTTCTATTTCCATTAATGCTTGTGGTTTCTATCTCCATTATAGTAGTGGCTCCAAGTCCGATTCTATCACCCCTTAATTAGACTTATAAGGTTGAGTCTTTGCTCTCTTATAGCATTGGTTCTTCCTTAGTCTATTTAAGATACTACTTATCGTCATTCTCATTTCTTTCTATAGCCCATCACCACCCAAACACTTAACCATACTTCCGCTTATCTTATATACTTGTAGCCCACCTTTAAAACCCTTACATTTACTACCTTACCATTCTTTTTGTAGCCTTCACTTGTTGCAAGTGTTTGTTTCCTTCCTAGGTCCTATAATTAAGTTGCCGTCGTTCTTTGAGTCCATAGAACTGTGCCCCAACCTATATCAATCCATAAACTCAAACCCGACATCATCCTATTAAAAAGTTCGATCCGACTCAAACTCAAATTTCTAAAGAAAAACTTACATTAATAGATCAGTTCGAATTAGAATTTATCGAATTTGAATCAAATACCTATTCCTAATTATTAATATGTGTGGGAGTTATGTTGTGACTGACAAAATTCCCCTCATAGAATTTTAGTCATGATTAATTTTTTTCCAATGCCAAAAACAAAGTGTATATGAGATCTTGCAAATAGGTGTGAGCATTCAATCGAGTCGAGTTATTTGAGTTGGCAATCATATTTTGTAATTCGGACTTAACTTGAATTTTTTTCAAGTCGAGTCAAGTTATTCGAGTTTTGATACAAATTTTATTATAATTATTTATAGTATTATAGTAATGATTGATTTCAATTTTTTGATTTTCTCTAACCATATAATATATATATATATATATATATATTCTTTATTATTGTTATTATAATGTTATATATCAAATACAATATAAAATTATAAAATATATTTACAATATTATATTTTAAAGAAAATATTTTGAAGGTAAAATATTGAAGAGATAATACAAAAGTCAATGAATTTATGGGAAGAAAAAACTTACAAACAATTGCAATCAAAATATCAAATTGAGTAAAATGTAAAATTAAAAGACTAAATAAAAAGAGTATATTTTTAGTGAAAAATAGGGATTGAAGTTACATAGGTATTCTATAGTGGTATAAGAGCATGTGGTTCAAAATTGATAAAAAAAAATAGACTTAAAATGAAGGATGAATTGAAGAAATAAGGAAATCATGAAAAGTTGAAGATTAAATTGAAAAATTAAAAAAATGTTACCAAAAAGAGGAATTGAAGGCACATAAGAATTATACGATGGTTTAAGAGCATGTGGTTCAAATTTGGTAAAAAATGAACTTAAAATTAAGGAGGAATTGAAGGAACAAGGAAATCATGGGCTAATTTGCAAAACTGTCAAAATAATCAGCCAAAATTTTAGTTTTTTGAGTAACTCGAAATTTCCAAATTTCAACTCGACTCGAACTCAAAAACCGAATCAATAATTTGAGTGGACCAAAATAACTCGAAATTGAAAAAAATCACTTTTTTTAATCGAGTCGAGTTTTATTCACCCCTAACTGCAATGCCAAAACATTTGAAAATTTTAGTCATGATTAATTTCTTGTTAGGTCCTCATCTTTTTGCCAAAGTTGCTAACTTCCAAATGCTACAGAATAAAATATACATCATCCCATTGGGAAGCGGTTATATACTTAAATTCAATCAGAAAGTAATATTTCCAAATCCAAAAGCAATATAAGAATTCAACATCTGTAATCTTTCCATTAGGAGACAAGGCCCCATCTAGGGATTGGCATGGATTAGATCAAGTTGGATTTCAATTAATTCGATCTGACCTGAAAATTATATATCTTCCACCTGAATTCGACCAAACCTAAAAATGTACACACTCCACTAAACTCGAATTCGATCCGATTTTTGAGATAAAATTCGGACCCAATCAGACCCGATCCGAAATAATATATTTATTAAAAAATTTATTTTTATTCAATAAAAATAGGGATTTAATTAAAAAAATAATATAGAGATAAGCATTATTGCAATTATTTCTAAACCTAAAGATAAAATATATATTTTTCTCGAGTCGGGTCAAACATATATTTTTCACCCTGAATACGAACATAAACCGACCTGAACACAATCTTTAAAAAAAACTTCCGACCCGAATTCGATTTTCTTTTAAAAAAAATACTGTCGGAACCCATTATATTTGGGTACCATGCCTATCCCTAGCCCCATCAATCAGTTTCTCAGTCTTGCATCTTGATAATTTAGATTTATTTCTGGGTAAAATACAATTCAGTTCACTCAATTATTAGTTCATTTATAAATAAGTCATTTTTAAAATTTCTAATTTAATCATTCAATTAAAATATTATAAACATGTCACTGACCATTAAATATTAGAAGAAATAGTGATGAGGTCTGACATAATAATAATTTTAATAATTAAATTTTATACATTCTATCAATTTGGTTCTAATTGAAAATAATTTAATAAAAATAACCCTTCATATTTAAAATTCTAACAATTTAATTTTTGTTCTTCAAAATTACTTGGTCTTCTCTCATAAATGTTATATTACTTTCCTATTATAATAATAACTCAATATGTAATTTATTGATATTTTATGATAGAATACAATTATTGAACTATTATTTTGATCTGATAGACTTGTCTAGTTTGATAATATCGTAAAATATACTAAGTTGATGCAAATTTTAAATATAAAAAGGTTAAGTTTATTAAATTGTTTCGAACTAGGACCAAATTGATAAAATGTATAAGTTTTAAGAACTTAAACTATTATCAATCCAGACACATTAGATGTTTGTTTTAGTTTCAAAGACTGAGTAATTTGTTTGTAATAATATGTTTATTGAGTGATTAAATTGTAACTTTTTTTAAATAAGTAACTAGTTTATAAGCAACCTAATAATTGAATAAGATGGGAATGTATTTGACCCTTGATTTGGTTCATTATTTTTTTTTTTGGATAAATAATTTGGTTCATTATTAATCGTTACGTGAACTGAAGGCTACAATTAGGGCTGTAAATGAGACGAGATAGATCGTGAGTTACTCGAGATCGACTCGGTCAAGGCTCGATAAATACTCGGATCGAATGGACTCGACTCGAACTCGATCTCGACTCGAATTCTTAACGAGCCGAAACGAGCTACTTGATACTCGACTCGAAAAGCTCGTGAGTAGCTCGAAAATATAATATATTAAGATATTATTTTTTTAAAAATAAATTATTAATAATATTAACATTTATGTGTTGATTTTTTTAAAAAATACAATAATACTTTCATGTATTTAAGGTTCAGGTTCGAGTTTGAGTTTGAGGATTCAATCTTGTTAAGTTTAAGAAATTTTTTTCTTCATTTCGAGCCTTTTCGAGCTGCTCACGAGCTTCAGTTCAGGATTTCGAGTTCGAGTCGAGCTTAAAAATTTTAAACTCACGAGTTTTCGAATCAAACCGAGCTCCATTTCAAAGTTTTCTAGTCGAGTCGAGCTCAACAATACTCGAACTCGACTCGACTCGTTTACACCCCTACCTACAATGTCACACTATTTGCACATTGGTTACTTTTATAAAGCCGATGACTCTTTTGATCTTTTAGGTTTGATGCTTTGACTTTATGGACTCGCCCACCCAAACTTCTCTTTTTGGATTTAAAGACAAGCCCCGCCCCCCAACTCACATGCCTTGTTCCTTGACCCATCACCATTCGACTTTGGGGGCAATTTTGTAAAGTGGTTTTTGGGTCAAAAGATTCCCCCATCATTAGGGTTTCTTGCCGAAAGCTTCTTAACGTATGGTCTACTTCGTTCATATTCACTTGCATGGTTTCTTTATCGTATATAACTTTTAGTTTAATTATGCAAGAATCAAGTGATCTTAGTAATAAATAAATTGTTGTTTTTTAAGATCTCAAGTTTGAGCATCATGAAAATAAAATGTGTGAGCGTTGAATATCAAATGGTTGAATAGATAATGTCTTTTACTTAGATTAATAAAAAAAACTTTTTATTGCTAATTTGTTACATATAAATCAATGAACTAATGATACTAATTCATTGCATGTAAACCAAAGCAACCACCCCCAATGAACCTTGATACAAACATACCAAACCCATGGGCCATTTAGATCCTTCCTAGCAAAGCATTTGTCCCTTAATGGAAAGGCTCTTTCCCTCTAATATAACAACTCCGTTATCTTCAAGATTCTTTTCATGGTGTGAGACATGTTATGTTCACCACTAAAACCACTTTCCTTTTGGCCACTTTTTGTTTCTTCTTCTCCTGCACGGTGTTTGTCAACGTTAGGAGGCACGAAAACCCGATGGCGAGTGTGACGTGGCACCCATTGGCTCGAGTTTAACAGCACCGAACCCATGCACTCACAGATGAAGATATCACACACTTTTTAGGTGCTAGTGTTTGGGTGGGACATTGATATATAAATCCACCACCATATTAAGACGATAGAGGCAGGCAGGCACATGCATGGAGACTGAAAAGGGTCCTATACCCAGAATAGAGTATACATTACAACCCAAAAAGATAAAGGAAACAACATATCCACGCCTCATTGTCTCATCACTACATACATAATCTTACTTTAACATCCCATTATTTCTATTTATATACCTTTATTTGCATTTTAATTATGATTCGAAAGTAGACAAGATTCGAACTTAAACCTGAAACTATCAAAATCTCGACTCGATCCATAAACACTTCCGAGACATAAACATGGTTTAACTTGAATAAGTGATAAAGATGTACGTAAATAGTATACTAACAAGAAGAATGAGAATGGAAAAGGCAAAAGGCTGACCAACTGTGTGTGGTGAGGTTATTAAATAGAGGAAAGAGGGGATGATGAGATTTGGATTCGTAAACACATGTGGCATCGCAGATGAATGTGGTTCGCAATCATATTGTCCATGTACTGCACCATCCAAATTCCATTGCTCCTAATCTTTTGTCCAAATTAAACAATTATATTACTTACTTAACATATAAGCTAGGGGTCCTACTTCTTTTCTAGGGCAGCAGCCACCAAGCACATTTCAAGTTTATCGAAACTATTTTAAACATTTTTCATATATATTAATTAATATTAATCGAAACCCTCAAATGACCTCTTTGGTAAAATGACGTATTGTTCTTTCTAGAAGTCTTGGGTTCGAGTAGTGAGTTCTTCAGAAACCGTAAATTGTAAATGATTAAGAAGTATTCTGAATAAATATTACACTTATAATCACCTCATATTATCAAAAAATTAATATTGGTTGAAATCATCGAATCAACCATAATCAAAATTAAAATAATATTAGTTCAGATTGAATTAATTACTCGTCAGGAAAGTTTGGTCACAAGGGATATATATCGTACAATAATGTTATTCAGTTATTCGATGGTACAATTTCATTGTATTGCATATAAAAATCAACTTAAAATTGTTACATATTTACTAACATTAATAGCAATTTATAGTATTGTAAGTTGGCCATCTTACATGACTTTTTCTAGGTTATAAAGTTTGGTCTGATAGCCGTACGTACTAAATTAGATATAAATGGCTTCGATTTTTAAATTAATTATAAGATAATATCGATATTCGATTTAAAATTTAAATATAGTAATGTACATTTATAAATAAAATTAATTATCTCAACTCTTATCACTTAAGGAGGATAAAATTATTGGATTTAAACCTTATCTCATTAATGTGAAAATAAAAGCTTAAGTAGCCTTAAATAGTAGTTCAGTACAAGCATTAGCAAACCCATATTTGTTGCATGCAAATTAACATTTTTTTAAAAATAATTAGAAGAGGCTTGTTTCTCTCTGCGACGTGGGATCAAGTTTGAAGCATTTTGATTGGTTGATGAAACAGGCTATTATTAAGGAGAGGACACTCTACAGTCGACACCATCACTATACAATACACAAGTACCTGAAGAACATGAGAGCTGGAAATTTAACAGAGAAAAAAAAAAGCTGATACCAAACCCAAAGAAATCTAACCAAAAAAGTCCTTTCCTTTCCCTTCCTCTCATCTCCCTCCATCTTTGCTTCTCCTCTTTGGATTTATATTAAACAAGAAAAGGTTTTCATTTGTTGCAAAGTTTATCCATGTTGCCCAATACCTCTTGTCCTTCACTTCCTTCTTCGGAGCCATTTGCTTGCTTTGAGAATGGTAATCATAACAACAAGAGAAAACGAAGACCTGCAGGAACACCAGGTACGTACTGCATATCATCTTTCTTTATCTCTATCTGTATATATAATATGATTTTCCGTTGTAATTTGATTCTTTGAATATATTTATATTGGGGTGGTGAACTGGTGATGTTTAGATCCAGATGCAGAAGTGGTTTCTCTTTCGCCAAAGACGTTACTGGAATCGGATCGTTATGTTTGCGAGATCTGCAACCAAGGGTTCCAGAGGGACCAAAACCTACAGATGCACCGGCGGCGACACAAGGTTCCGTGGAAGTTGCTGAAGAGAGAAACTCCGGTGGTGAGGAAAAGGGTGTTCGTTTGCCCCGAGCCTAGTTGCTTGCACCACGATCCTTGTCATGCTCTAGGTGATCTGGTTGGGATCAAGAAGCACTTCAGGAGAAAACACAGTAATCACAAGCAATGGGTGTGCCAGAAATGCTCAAAGGCATATGCTGTTCAATCTGATTACAAGGCCCATCTTAAAACCTGCGGCACCCGAGGTCATTCTTGCGACTGTGGCAGAGTTTTCTCAAGGTTTGTTCCATTTCCATGGAACCTTAGCTGTTTATATACATACAGTTGAGCACAACCCCCGATAATCAGTTTCCCGTTGGTCATCCTACTGTTCATTTCAAATTCTTACTGATATTAAATGTTTAAACAAGTTCAACTTCACATATACCTATAAGAAATATGTAAAAGATTGATTTCTTACTTCTTATTACTAATTGGTTAATTTTGCCTTTATGGCTTTATCTTTTCAGAGTTGAGAGTTTCATAGAACATCAAGATGCTTGCCATATCCGGTCCGGATCGCAAGAAGTACAGCGGGCTTGCTTGTCTCGAACCGCTTCAAGCCCCAGTCCATCTAGTGAGACCATGTTCTTCAGCCCTACGAAACATAATCTGGAACTTCAACTCTTAACCACATCAAGGGAGCCCTGTGTGCCGCATACATCGACAGATGATAATCATTCCACTCAGTTACAGCTCTCGATCGGATCGTCCAATATAGGCGAGAAAACCGAACCGACTGTGACTTGTACGAACAAGGAAAACAATGCTCACGAGCAGTTAAAGCTGGCGATGGCGGAGAAAGCTTACGCCAAAGAGGCGAGACAGCAAGCGAAAAGGCTGATCGAATTAGCCGAGCAAGAGTTTGCCAAGGCGAAGAGACTAAGACAACAAGCACAGGCAGAATTAGAGAAGGCTCAAGCGTTGAGAGATCATGCGATGAAGCAAATCAACAACACCATTCTTCAGATCACTTGCCATGCCTGCAAGCAGCAACTTCAAGAAACAAGTACAACTCCCGATGCCAACTCTCTTGTTGTGAGTTACATTTCATCAGCTATTACAGGAACCGGTTGAACAATTCGAACAAATTTTACTAACACATTAAACAATGGTTTGTTTTGATGTTCTAGTGATGATATACCAAAAAGGGTTGCTTTTTATAATCTAAAGTTGATTAGTGAATTGTTTGTATCCTGCATTTTGTGTGATATGATTTGTTCATTGATTTGGTTAAATGAAAAGCTTGGAGTTATGTGGTTTTTGTTATAAAAGTATTCCAGGCCAACAAGTTAGACCATTTTCTTTGTCTGACTCAAGCATAATTTATTTTGATTACAACCAGTATTTTATATGTCCCTCTTAATTTAAATTTTAATCATCATTTTATTACTATTTATATCTGTGACTGTATCCAAATGAAGTAGAGCTCTAACCAGTATTCTATTGATCCTCGTTAGGTATTGCTACTCAATACTATTTGATTGAATAAAGATGAGAGAGACAGATGAAAACGAAGTTTCGTTATCATCAGCTCACTACACAGCTTTTGTTTTGGGTTATTTTGGCTTTTCTGGTTGGAGTCATTGGATTGGATGACCATGAATGGAGGTGGCATTAAAGAATGGTACTGAGAAGAACTGCAAGCACGCACCAATTACTTACATATATAGCCTACAAAAAGCGTGAGAGAGAGAAAGTGGGGAAGAATGTGACGGTTCCTTTTCCAAGTGATATGTTTTAAAAAATTCCATGTTTTTCAGTGCCATGGTTTTTAATGACATACGAGAGTCGTCGTTGTCAACTTCTCCAACCAAACTCCATTTTATTCATTCAGTCGTTCACTTTCGTATATGAGCATCAGAGTGAGGTCCCATACGGCATTAAGAAGAAGAAGAAGAAGAAGCAAATAATGCAAATTTCTCTTTCTTTTGCAGAGGGCCGGGACACCATTTATTCATAGCTTTTCGTCTCAGTCATGTTTTGCTGTTATCATTTTCACCATTTCAACCAAAACAAAAAGGCGAACGAACGGCAAAAGCTAAAGCTGGGCACTTTTATGGGTCTTTTTTTCCTTTCTCTTTTGGACTTTTTCTTGAACAATGTGCTTTTCTTTTCTTTTTTCATCATGTTGCTAGCTTGTCTTTCTTATTGCTTTTTTAACTCAGTTCGCACAGCACGGGACGAAACGGGTTTTTATCTGCACAATATTGAGAGAAAATCGCCACAGTGATCAAAAAATATCTTATAATATACGATTTTAATCAATTTTTTCCGGATTTGTCAAAATGACCAACAAAATCGCAATGCGATCGCTAATTCGCAACGCGATCTCCATTATCGCAAATTCGCGTTGCATTTCGCGTTGCGATAGTTGGAAATCGCGTTGCGATGGTCTACAGTGTCGTTGCGATTTTCCCAATTCGCAATGCGAATAAGTAAATCGCAACGCGAATTGGAAAAATCGCAATGCGATACTGACTATCGTAATGCGATACTTACTATCGCAATGCGATAATACAAAATCGCAACGAGATACTGACTTTCGCAACGCGATTCTGACTTTCGCAACGCGATTTACATAGCGCCATTCGTATTAACGCGTATTTTTTTTTCAAATTCCAAACACGAATTTTTTCTTAATAAATCGGAAACTGAACCGTCCACAGTAATCGCAACTCATAACCTCAAACCCAAAATCACAACACTCAGTCCCATCTCCATCTCTCACTCTCTACGGTGAAATCCGTCCCCATCTCCGAAGATTTTCGTCCCCATCGCCGGCGAAATCCCTCACAACCATTCACAGTCAAAAATCCCTCACAATCATTCAGAAATGGAAAATCAACCTCCGATTGTTAGTTTTTTATTTTTATTTTAAAATTTTTGCATTATTTTAGGTTTTTCATATTGAGATTGATGATAAGTTTACTGGTAATTTCAATAATAGATTAACCATTTCACTTAGATTTCTTATTAAATTCATTCGATTGCTACCAATACTGCTAAACTATTTAGCCTGTGAAGTTAGTATTTGTCTTTGTTTTGTCTTTTGGTTGAAGTAATGTAGAAGAAGAATAGTTTCGAGAATGAAAATCGCAACGCGGAAATAACTATCGCAACGAGAGAATCGCAACACGAAATAAAAAACGCAACGCGAAACAAAAATCGCATTGCGATTTTCATTTCGCGTTGCGATTTTCATTTTGCGTTGCGATTTTTATTTTGCGTTGCGATTTTCATTTCGCGTTGCGATTCTCTCGTCGCGATAGTCATTTCGCGTTGCGATTCTCTCGTTGCGATAGTCATTTCCGCGTTGCGATTCTCATTATCTCGTTGCGATTTTCATTTCAACCAAAAGATAAAACAGTGTTGCAAATTTTAGTTTCAAGAATAAACTACTATTTATGTTTATTATTTTTGGTATATCTTGACAGTGTAGTTTTTGGTATATCTAACTTGGTATGTTTATTGTTTTTTTTGTAGAAATTTTTTTCGGCTTCATTGACATTAAGGAATAAAGTTAGCCTAGCCACTACAATTGCTTCGAAGCTTTCACCTGCACAAAGAAAATTGTTTGAAGAAACCTGCTTCGGGCCATGGCTGAGAGTACAGCATCCGGGTGGAGATGCTAGTTTGACCCATTTGTGGCTTCAGACCATGACTAGCGATCTACCCGACAGTATACAACGTGGTGAGGAAGAGATATGGTTTCATTTTCCACCGGCGTATACTTGTTTTGGGCGGAAGGAGTTCTGCTTAATCACTGGTCTACGATTCGGACACGATGATGTAGGCCGGTACACTCGTCATATCACCCGCCCATCATGGTTATCCAGGGTTTTTCCTGATGAGTCAATAGAGAAGCCGAACTTACACGTCGACGACATGAAGAAATTGTTTAATAAGAAAGATGGTTTTACTCGGATGAATGACGTCGATGTTGTCCGAGTATGCCTTCTACTACTTTTGTATGCCGGCTTTTTAGGCAGAGAGGCCAGACAACCTATTCCTCAGGAGCTAATATTATTGGTAGAGGACCTAAATGCATGGAATCTATTTCCGTGGGGTTCGTATATATGGAAAGCTACCTGGACTAAGTTGTCGTCTGCCTTTGATGACCGCAAAAGTTTGCGGGGCGATGGGTCGAAATACACTTTGTCAGGCTTTGTTTGGGCCTTTAAGGTAAGAATTTCTATATAATGTTTTCAAAATTATAATTAATTATTTAACAATTACTAATGTTTGTTATTATATTGTTTGTAGATTTGGATATTCGAGGCCTTTCTCGCCATGAAGACATATGCAATAAAAACTTCAAATGATATTCACAGGGCTATTTCCTGGAAGAGGAAACGTCTGTTGGATTGGGAAGACTTAATACCATATGCGACAATAAATAATGTAAGTTAACAGAAATACTATCATATATAAACAAGTTATTAATAGTAGACGTTTAACTTTGTTTGAGTTTTTATATTTTTAGGAGGCCAACATTCCATTAATGAGACTGACACCCACGGAGGTTGAGCTTGCCACTGATTGGTGGCAAGCTAGTCAGCATTTTCTTGATGGCACGAATGATGAGCAGCCTCCACTTCCTCCACTTCGAGATCCATCACCTCACCCAGAGCCATCACCTGATCGACCCGACTATACACCTCTACAACGAGAGCCATCACCTATCCCGTCACATCATCGAGCCTCTTCTCCACCATCACCTCATGATAGGCGACCGACAAAGATGCCACGACTTCTATCTCCCTATTCTCCACCTCCACGGGATGAGTCAAGGGAGTTACGTGATGAGGTCAATGCCTTGCGTGAGGAGATCGGTACTCTACTCGATAACGATGGTGCATGGCATGTGGAGGTGTCTACTTTACGTGGTGAGGTTGCCGCTCTACGTGAGATGGTAGTATCGTTGCAGAATGAGGTTCATACTCTACGCAACGAGGTAAGTTTAAGATTTTCCATATCTAACTTGATGATAAATTTACTCGTAATTTCACTTAAATTAACCAATTTATTCGGTTGCTGCCAAAACTGCTAAACTTTTTACTTTAACACTGTGAAGTTAGTATTTGTCTTTGTTTTGTCTTTTGGTTGAAAGTTTGAAATATATTTATCTTTGTTTTCACTGTTTAAATATCATGTCTGTTTATTTATTGATATTTGTATTTAATTATTTAGCGGACCGATAAGGTGGATGCTTTACGTCGGGTTTTTCTTGCACGACAAATTTTAATCATCATACGGCGTGCACGTGCTATTAAGTCTCCGTATACCCCAATAGTGCGAAGACACCGCAAGAAGAAGCCCGACTCGCCTGTCATCCCTCAAGAGTCCACTCCTATCGTTGAAGAGGCCCCTATCATTCCTCGAGAGTCCCCTCCCACCGTTCAAGAGGCCACTGTCATCGTTGAAGAGGTCCCTCCCACCATTCAAGAGCCCGATTCACATGGCGTCATATGTAGGATTCTTGAGAAACCCTCTGACGTACCGGACATGATGGATTCAAGTTGGCTCTCATATGAGTTACCGGCCAGTACCATACCGGTATCGGAAGAGGAGAGGAAACAACTACCGGACACAATTCTGGATAACACCCTTTGGGCTAAGACCGCAGTTGATTTTTATCTACATGAGCGAAGCCAGGGGTGTTTCACTGACATAAGCAAGCTCAATGATGACATCTATTTGTTGCTTGATTGGTCTTGGTGGGGCGTATTATTAGGGGTCGAAGACAATGGCTATTTCGATGGAGGGGTAAGTCTTATATTTTTCTTATATTTTAATTTGATTATTTTTTTGTAAATTTATGTAAGTTACTAATATATGTCTTTTTTTGTAAAACAGCATATCGATGCGTGGGTGTCACGTCTTCTAATAATTAGGAAACTTAAGGAAAATAAAAGAAATACACGATATACAATTATACCGACGTCTTTTAACGCCGTTCACTTGAAGAATCAACGAGATGAATCATTTGCGTTGGGCAATGGACACGCTAAACTTTATCCTGCATGGTGGGAGGTCGATAAGGTTAGTGTTTATTTTAGATTGAGTTTAAAGGTATTCATAAATAAGTGCGCAAATGAATGAATTATTACTTATGATTGCACATGTTTATCCCTGTTTTGGAACGTAACCATTGACTTCTCGTCGAGCTTCAGATCCCATCCCTTAAGGCAATAGTATATGACAGCATGATAAATTACATATCATTGGCTGATTTAAGAGATATTATT